CCTAAATCAGAGACTGTACCTTTAGTAGGTAATATCCTTAAGGAAAATCATGTTCCTGAAGATACGGTAACACAAATTTTAACTTTACTAAATTTTTGCCTTTCTCAAGATTTTTTTGTTTTCAATGAAAAATTTTATAGACAACCTGAGGGTTTAGCAATGGGTAGTTGTTTATCTCCTTTCTTGGCAGATATATTCATGAATGACCTAGAGGTGAATCACATAATCATTGACAATAATTCTGAGATTTTAAATTGGTATAGATATGTTGATGATTGCTTGGTTTTCATCAATGGAAATTCAGACACTGCCAACAACCTTTTACAAAAAATAAACTCAATTCATTCTAACATAAAATTTACTCTTGAACTTGAAATAGACAATAAACTGAATTTCTTAGACTTGACGATCAAAAAATCAGACAGACTGGAATTCAGCATATACCGAAAGCCAACACAAACTGACCATGTCATTCCTTCTTTCTCTAATCACCCCCATCAGCACAAAATGGCAGCTTTCTATTGCTACATCCACAGGCTTCTCAATATTCCATTATCATCAACTGAATACAACAGAGAACTGAATACTATCAAACAAATAGCATGTAATAATGGTTACAACCCAAATTTGATCCCAAAGCTAATTCAAAAAATCAAACATAAGAGAGAACATAATCTAACTTATCCTAGAGAAGAAGTTTACAGATATATATCCCTACCTTTCACAAATGAAAACATCTCTCAAAAAGTTTCAAGTTTCATCAAAAACAAGTTAACAAACACCAAAATATCTTTCAAAAGCACTAATAATTTGAGCAAACATTTGGTTAATTCTAAAGATAAAATCAATAAATTATCTAAAAGTGGTATTTACAAATTAAATTGCAATGATTGTGAAGCTTCATACATAGGTAGAACTTGTAGACCTTTGAAAGTTCGTATAGGAGAACATTTGAATAAAACAGAATTTTCAGCTTTTGGCCATCACATCAAATTCAGTAAACATAATTTCAGTCCAAATCGTAATTCAAAAATTCTGAAAGAGGTTAATTCAAAAAATTACAATAGACTAGATTTTTTGGAAGATTTAGAAATCGAAAAAGAACTACGAAACAATGACCTTTGTTTGAACACACAAGTACAATTAAATAGATGTTACATTCCTTTACATAGACGTTTGAAATAATAAGCAATTCTCCATGATGATATCCATTATAACTCATACAAGACACTGTTCCGGATTTCGGCTTCAACAAGTCTGAATCTGGCTTACTTTTCGGACTTGAGTCCGGTCTACGCTTGAGGTCGGGAGGCTCAACTGATGTTGTCATTCTCTTGTGGATTCACAACTTGGGTTGGGCATCCTTAGATCTTCGGCTCGAACACTAGGACTTTTGAGTCCGAAATGGAAGTCCTGCTCCTTAATTTTCACCCAACACAACAAAATTGCATTCAGGATCCGGCTTACTTTTGAGACTTGAGTTCGGCCTTCGTTCTGGGTCTGGAGGTATTCTGGTGGTATGTTTGCTTCTGATGAGGCATTCGTCTACAGGAATTCTCCTTGGACTTCCAGTTTGGACACTAGGACTCTTAAGTCTTGATTGGAAACTCTTTTCTCTCAATTTTACTAAAAAAAAAGGTTTACTCTTTGGCCTGGATTGAAGTCCACTTCATCTTATTTTACCTTTCAGAATGTTTCAAAATTTTCAAACAGCTTTTCTGCTCACCTTGTCAATTCTTTCCCAAGCGCTTTTTTCATTATGTCACTTGTCTACTTCATACACATGTCAACTAAGTCATAGACATTGACACTCAGTCATTGTCAACATTTTACTAAGGTTAAAAATTATCAAACATTTTCCAGAATAAATAAGGTTAAGGTCCCTCGTGCTATTTCTGGACTTGAACAAAACAATCTCAACATGTATTTTTGAAAAATTTTACAATAACCCTTTAGGGAACATTTTTGTTAAATGTATGTCTGTTCATAATCCCGTTTGTACCATAATGATGTCTGTGATCACTAATTTTTGGACCTTTTTGTAAATACTTGACGAGTAAGTAATCTACCTTTTTAGATTTGTTTTTGAAATTTCATAAATGTTACTTACTTGCAGGTATAGCACTGATGATGGCTTTTTAGCCGAAAGCGCTTTGCGATTTATAATAAAAAAAAATTTACACGAAATACAAAATCTCTTCATTCTATTGATCAGTTACGTGTATGCAGCTAGTAAAAATCTTCACCTTAGGGTTATTTCAGACAATCACGCGAACATTCACGTTTTAAGTTTTGTTATGCTCAATGAGTGTGACAGAAAAAAAAATTTTGATATTCGCACGCTAATATCTTTGTAATCGTTTGAAATAACCCTATCAAACTCAGTATCGTTGAATTAGTCATGATGATCCCTAACCGATCGTGAAATACAATACAGGGTGTCCAATTTGAAAATCAAAAGTTGGATTCATCAATTAATGAGCAATTTGATATACTTGCCATATACTACCAATTTTCAAAACCCTATCTAGATTAATTCGAGAGTTCAAATCCTAGTCGTTTTTTGTGCACTCCTCTGTTTACAGGGTGTAATTTAGTTACTGCCTGAAAATATAGAACATGATGGTTCTTTAGGTCATTTCAAGAAGTGAAGTTCATATGAACACATTCCCCAAACCTCCTTACTTTCGAATTATAGGATGTTCTCATTCCATTTTCTCTTTATTGCTCAAAGAAACGTACACAATGTGAAAAACTGTTGAGTTAATCAATACTTATCTTATATAATTGTGAAGTGATCAATTTTGGATGAATAAAATGTTGCATTGTATTGAATTGTTATATTTGAGTTTGACCGTTTTGAAGAAATATACTATTCACCCTATTTCAACACACCATATCGATGTTGCTTTATTATATTTTCTTATCTGTGCGTTTATATTAAACTAATTTTGCAGACTCATTGTGAAACTCATTTTCATTTTATATGATTTTATACTAGTCATGTTCGAAATTGACTGAGCAGGACCGTCTCATTGTGGGGGTATGTTCTGGGCCCAACAAGAATTTCGAATTTTTAATTGATTCAATTTCATGATCGAACCGTTATTGAGTATGACTTCAGAAATGGTCGGATTTCTGTTTATTTCGGTGAAATGGCATCAAATTTTGATTCAATGAAATGAAATGATACCACTGCTTAGTAGTAATTATTCGCTTGAATATTTCGGTTTTTTTTTCCACAATAAAAAGCTGAAAATCGTCAATTGAATTTGGATTCAAGTAATCTTTTGCTCTTTCAGAAAATAGGTTCATAGTTCATAGAATTATAAATGTTGAACAAACGATTAGTCAACATGGCCTCATATAGATGGATGATCAGAATATCATGAAAAATGCACACAAAGCTTCGATCAATTTATTACCGTAGAAATCTAGACTCGTGTATATACGACAAGGATAATGTATCTTCTGACCTCATCTGAACACTGTAGGAAAGTTTTCGACCTTTGACTTCTCTATAGGTGAATACTTCCACGGTAAGTGTTCTTCCGAAACCTCTACCATCATTGCATCACTAGCAATACCAGTCAGACAAAGTCGACATGTCCAGATAGCACGTCTCCTCCTTGTCAACCTTGAAATATGTCGACCAACACTTTATCAAAACTCGTTCGTCTATGAAACGAAAAGCTTTGGAATTATTTGCGAATGAAACATATAACATGAAGAATTTCAAGAAAATATCCAGCACCTACCACCTTCTGCTATCCTCCTTGGGTACGCAAGATGTTTTACGGATATAATAGGAATTATTTCTTGTGCGCTACTAGAGATACAAGAATTGAACAAATGGAGATGGAAGTTGTGAACAAAAAGCTTTATAATCCAATCACCTAGTACATTTTACCTTGCTTTAGGGTAGTGAGTTTCTTTTCTTCATTCTGTTTGGGATAGTACAGAGATGCCTAATCCAATTTTTCGACCTGGACGACCTTCCGGATCACCGTCATATAACGTTTAATCAGCTAAAAATTCGAACTTTTTCCAGATTTTGCCATTTTTGACCCAGAAGGAGTAAAATTTCCTGAATGAGCTCAATATGATTACTGTAGGCTTGATAGTTCACGGGATTCAGCTCTCCGAAGTTGGTCAGAAAATGGTGTAATTTAATGAGAATCAAGGACACAAACATAAAGGTTACAAGAAAAAGTGAAGAAAGAAAGAAGATATGATATTATCTTGTATTATTCCACATTAATTACATTTCAGTTTTGTTTAAACCTCTTAGGAGGTCCAGGTTCAAGATTTTTTCCTAGTCGTTCTTGCTCTTGAGAGCTCTTGAGAGCTCTGAGGATATAGGAACTTTTAGTGAGTCGATATCAGAATCGATATCAGAAGTTTCCATGATGACCCCTGTTCGATTCTCACATTACTGTCCACTGCATTGACCGCAGACAATAGAGAATTTCGAGCCTGCTCTTCTGCAGCTACATGCATTTCCACATCCTTTCTTGCAGTTGCAGGAAATCTTCTGCATGTGGTGTGATTCGTGAGGCCACTGAGAATCACCAACAAGTCTACGTCCTCACCTACAATAAACACTTCTTCTAAATCATAGGACTTCGCGATAGCTGTAGTGACAATCACTATATTTCAGCATTTTTTGTGTTGGAAGATAAAACTGAAAAAACAACTCTTTAAAATTCTCAATGAAAGACTCTATGAGGGATGAGGAGTGGAATAGGTGTGTGGGAGAGTGATTAGAATCTAAAAGACTGATTTCGTATCGTTTCTGACCAATCGAATCTTGAAGAACGAATACGATGATACATGTTGAAGAACAGTAAAGTAATTCAATTCCTCTTTAACTCATTCATTTCAATTCTCTATAGTCTCCTAGGTCAACTGATTTAGAAGTGACCTGCATAATTTCAAGAAATTATGTCAAATCCGCGACCACCCATTGAATATCAATTGTCAAACCTTTTCTATTCCAGCAAGTATTTCAACCATCACATATGGAATACTCTTCGCTTGGACTTCTCCGTTCATCGTCAAGATAGTGGAAGACAAAGAGAACTATAGTATAACCGAAGATGAAGCATCTTCCTTCACCGTCATTCCACCGATTTCCATGGTTTTGCTGGTGCCTGTTTTCGGTAAACTGAGTGACGCCATCGGTAGAAAGAAAGTACTCCTGTTACTGACTGTTCCGCACATACTAAGTTTCTTATTCACCGTGATTTCGAATAACGTGTGGGTCTTGTACCTCTCCAGAATTTGCGCGGGAATTGGGGATGCATGTCTCCATGCCAGTCTCCCGGTTTACATTGGTGAAATATCTGTTCCAAAAATTCGTGGTTCCTGTGGAAACTTGTTTAGTACATTCTCGCTACTCGGAGTGTTTCTTATAAACGTGATAGGCTCATATTTTGATGTGCGACAGTCTGGATTGATATGTATGGTGCTTCCGATAACATACTGCATATCAATGCTGTTCTTGCCTGAATCTCCATATTATCATATAAGTAAAGGTAAGCAGTGGCGTGATTAAGATTCATTCCTGGGGGGTCTAGGTCCAATATTTAATATTTAAGAAAAAGAAAAGCAAAACGTAACCTATGTGGGTTTCAATAAATGTATGCATCATTTGGAACCAATACCAAAATCAAGAAAAAATATCGAAAAATAATCAAATATTATCACATATCAATTAACAGGTACAAACATTGAAATAGGAACAAAAAAAAACAAAATAACAAAAAAAAGAGAGAATTTAGTTACTGAAGAATAGGAAAATTTTAACTGTATAATTTTTTTTTGTTGGAATGAAGAGACTACTTTTGGGAAGATGGTGACAAGAGGTGATTCAAAATTCGATGTGAATATCTTGAGTATCTATTGTTGTTCATACAATGGTGTGGCCTGAAATGCTCCTCCTTCGAGCTATAGTCATTGTAAGTTGAGTAAAGAACAAAAGATTATCTGAAATTGTGATCATTATAACGAATCAAATGCAAGTATCGTAGTACCGCACGCTCTGAAATAGCAGTCTCAAATGCGTTCCGACATTATAACGAATCAAATGCAAGTATCGTAGTACCGCACGCTCTGAAATAGCAGTCTCAAATGCGTTCCGACATACGATCTCCTTCGTATGCAAGCGTTCGAAAGCAATCCAAATTGCAAGATACCTACCGGATTCTTGAATTTTTTCATGCCCCACAAGATCACGCAATTCAAAGTCAGGTATTTTCTCTTTTGTAACATAAAATTTGGGCCATCAAAAGGATGGAACCCCCTCCATACCTTCCTCAAAACTCGGTTTACATTATTTTCAAAGCGAAAGAAAATAGATGAGTGTCCAAAAAGAAAAGGGCATGCCAATTTTCAGAAGATGTAATCCGTTATTTTAGATAATTTTTTTTTTCATTACAGCGGCTGAAGCTAGGAGGAGGTGCATTTCCATATTGACAAAGTCATATTTTGACCCCAAAATATTTACATCGAATTTTGAATTGTCCTGTGTATGGATGTTTCAATAAAAAACTTGTACATATGTTGCAGTCGTGAGGAATGGCCACAAAAAATGGATGGTTTTTTCTCATTTTCTTTATCTTTCCACAACTACTATCGTACGTTTCCAATGACAATAGGTACCTAACTAACCTACGATTTTCGTTCGGAAGGCCTTGAACCTTACATACATTAGTATTTCAGATAAACGAAAAAATCAGATGGAATATTCTGGGGGAAAGATAAAAAGGAAATTTGGTATTGGCGATCGAGGTAGTAACTGTCGAGCATTACCAGGAAATCAACAAATATACTTGGATAGTAGCAATTATTGAATAGGTTATCGGAAAGTGTACCTTCTTTGTTAGAGTTCCCGAAATTGGTAAAACTTGGAAACGTCACTTCAATCAGATCAGAAAATCTATAATACGAAGTGGTTCACGGTACCATAAAGTTTCTACCAAGACCATGGTACGACCATCAGAAACCATACATTTGCCGGTACATCAAGATAATAGATAATATACCGGGAGAGAGTAAATCAAGATGGAATATAGGAAACCTCCGGAACGTTTAAATTATGAATAATTTTCTTTTTGCTCCTGTATTGTATCTCCTGGAGGTATATAGATTTTTTTCATTATTTTTAATATTTTATTTCGATTGGTAGCGGAGGATGTGATATAATGGCATCTCAATGTTTGGTCATACTGTACATCATTTTATCATTCATTTGTTTCAGAAATACACAGATACAGGTATAGGCACCAGTGTTTTGTATTTCTTTGACTTGGTTTTCATGTCGTCACCTTTTTTCTTGTATGGTCGCTTGACGACAGAATGTTTTTTGAATGAGGGGAGGGGAGTCGAATATGTGAAAGCAAATAAACAAATTCGTTCAATTGCAGTTATGTAATTCCACTCAAATCTTCCCGAGTATGCAGCACAGATTAACATGTGAATTCCTCAATTCATCAAAAAGTGTTTGACCCGTGCATCTGTTCATTTCTTCATTGTTATTTATCCTCATTGAATTATCGTATATTCACGTATTTTGAAATGCATATTATTATTGAAGTCGATGTAGCATTGTTGAATGTTGAATTGGAAAAATGAATCTTATCTCAAAGAATTATGAAAAATGCAGGTCTGCATTAAAAAATATTACTTGATGATGGCCAAAATGAGCTCGAAACGCATTGAAATCACAATATGTAGCATATCTTCGAAATCGTGGTAGCGCCTATTTTACTAACCGTTCGGTATTTACTATATATCCTAGGCAATGATATTATTCCTTTGAATATACCTGGAAATACTTATATCTCAATCTTACAGAGGATGAAGAGAGTGCTAAGAAGTCCTCGAGATGGCTCAGAGGCAGAGAAGACGTGGACGAAATATGTAACAAACTGAAGATCGACATAAAAAGACAGCTTTCAGAACGGGGAACATGGAAAGATCTCTTCCTCGTCAAAGCAAACAGAAGAGCTCTTGCAGCAGGAGTTTTCCTGCGAGTTTCTCAACAACTGATTGGTACAGGAACAATAACAATGTACACCAAATTTATTTTCGAGAGATCCCAGGCTGGACTCAGCTCGGAAATTACTAGTATGGTGGCTAGTGGGCTAGGAGTTATTTGTGTCTTCATATCTGGATTTTTACTCGAGATACTCGGGAGGAAAAAAGTATACATGTGGTCACTTAGTTCTTGTAGTTTAACACTCATTATAATGGGCAACTACTTTTGTATAGAACAATATGCAACAGATATCAACCTGGAAGCTGTGAAATGGACTCCAATGGATTGTACAATTCTTTACACCATTGGAGTTGATTCAGGTTGCTTTAGCATTCCTACGCTCATGACTGATGAACTATTCTCTGCTAGTATCAAAGCAAAAGCTGTGAGTGTGCTTATATGGACCTATGGGATCATGATATTCGTGAGCAGTAATATTTTTCACCTTCTGAACGTACAAGTTGGGCTCTATGCACCATTCTTATTGTTTGGAATCATTTCCATTTTTTCAGTATTCACAACTAGTTACCTAGTACCAGAAACGAAAGGTAAAACTCTGGAAGAAATTCAACAAGATTTAGGTGGTGACAATATTCAGAGAACGATAAAAAGTGAAGAAGATGGCATACATAAAAGCTAAATGAATTTAGATGTATAGGTACTCAGTGATCAACGTTTAAATGAACTATGTTATCCTCTATATCGGCTTGTCTAACTGAACTCTCCTACACATATCTATATTTGAAGCATCTATAGATGTATGAAGCATTGTGTAATAATCATATTGTCTGCAAGTTAGAGTACCATTCGACTGTTAAACAGCCATATTATATTTCTTATTCGTATCAGTATTCATTCCAATATTTATCACCTGATAGTTTGTTCTACCTGGTATACATGCGTTTTGTTTTCATTAAATATTTCACAGACGTACATCAATTGTTTTATTTCCTGCTATCCCTGATGTTTTGGCAACTAGATTAGTTCGACTCTTCGAATCTCCAATCGTCCAATCTTGTATGGAAGAAAATCTGATACTTAGTACCTATCCGAAATTCATTAAGTCGTTATACGAATGGCGGGTACTCGGTGAGACAGCAAAACAAATTTTGATCAATATGCTACGCGAGGACCTACTCCAAATAATGCTCTAGCACCTTGAAACCACACCTCTTTTGTATAGTCACAAATAACAAATAACCCGTAGTATAAGATTAGATTCTTCAGCATATAGGCACAGGTCGTCCTGTCCTACTGAATCAGATAACCTGTGATTTCAAACTTGTATTCCCGTTCTTCGTCAACCTATACCGGGTTTCACAGTATCCCTAAGTATTTTTTCGAACATCTAGTCGGTCATTCAGGAGATTAAATGATGGAAATCCATTATTTGAGAAAAATCAACAACACTTCGAGTTGAAACTAGTCCAACATTTTTTCAATTCCAAATGGAACCCTGTTCTTAAGAGTCCTTGGGAACCATTCAAAATTATCTCTCTAATGATAACACTCCATTTCACACTCGGAAATCAACTGGAGAATAGAGCACTTCACTTCAATAGTTCGAAATCTGCATTCATTAGTTGATAAATAATATATAGGGTGATTTATATAGGCCAAGGGCGAATCTTCTTGAACAAAACATGGCAAAAGGACCAAATATGCTTCAATAAAATATTGCTGTGGAAAAAGGAACAGGGCGTTTCAATCGCAGAAGTCTTGACTATATGGACACTCACTACATTTAATTCAGCAGCAACAATTATCTAACAGTTCAAAGCACACTCTTCATAAATGAAATACTATTTTAAATATTATTATCTATCACGGAGAAAACGAAGGGTCAAAGTGGGTGATCGATTAAGTGACTCTCGGTGTGCCCCAAGGGACGGTGTAAGGGCCAATACTGTTACTGGTGTACCTACATCAACAGCATCACACATATAAAAAACTTCCAGCGTCACCTTGTCTCATATATATGACACCGCCTCATTTTTCACTGAAGATACCTGGTCAGAGGTTTTTTCAGTAGCTGAAAAAGAAATGAGAGATATAAAATCATGACTTGATCCCAAACTCTTGAGTTTGGATATTGGCGATACAAAATTTATTACTATATCACTACAAAATAACGATCAACCAAGAAATGAAACCCTCCAAATACACAAATTTTAATGTAATCGAGGTCCATGCTTTGTAGACTAGAGACATTGTTATGATCTCACCTCATTTCTGCAGGTATACGTTCACGCGCATATTCATATGGATTCATGAAAATCAGAAACAGCTCCTATCCATTCTCAGGTAGTTTTGAAATTTACTATAGATAGATCTTCATTTGAATAGGATATCCTAGTGTTCAAACAAGCTAAAAGGTATGAAGTGAAATAGGTATGTAGTACATATTGAAATGATTTAAAATATATGAGAAACATTGGATGAACACATTATGAAGATAGTTGAACCAAAGCATAATAATATCTCAAAACAACAATAATTGTAGCAACACATAACAAACATAATAAATATCATATATTTTCATTGGACGAAAATTTCTTTAGTTCGTTTTTGAAAAGGTTCAGAGATGGGGATATTTTTAATTGCATTTGGAAGTTGAATTGATCAAAACCCTTGAAAAATAATGAGATCATAGTGCTTTTGTGATTTGTTCTATTTATATATAAATTATTATTATTCCAAGTAAAGTGATGGTGAATATCATGATGGAAGACAATGTACTGTTTGAAATAAGATGGTCCTAAATTTTTTAATATTTCATATATGGGATATCTTCCGGTCTGACTTCTTCAGAAATCATAGGTAGGACTTATCTACTATATTTTCGTTCAGAAATCTTCGAATCGTGAGACAAAGATTTCTTGACATTTCAAAACATTTGGGTCAAACAGGCTAGAATGACGTCACTCAAATTTGATAAGATTGTTGGCCGTGAGACACGGCCTTAAGATGCATATTTGACTCAATGGTCCGGGACTCTATTTTTGTATGAAGATTTATATAGTACCATTTAGCTCTTCATTGGTATTCGTTGGGTTTTCGAATTCAGTAAAACGTTTTAAAATGAATATCAAAATTTCACATAAAAATGGTTATTCGAATAGCAAATTCGTATTGGTCTTGGAACTTTTCAGTTGAAAACAGGAGCAGATTCGTTTCCGAATCGTCCTAGTATTAGTGAAATTTTGGGCTATTTTTAATTGCATTTGGTAATCTGTTGAATTGATCGAAACCCTTGAAAAATAATGAGATCATAGTGCTTTTGTGATTTGTTCTATTTATATATAAATTATTATTATTCCAAGTAAAGTGGTGGTGAATATCATGATGGAAGACAATGTACTGTTTGAAACAAGATGGTCTTACTTTTTCAATATTTTATATATGGGATATCTTCCAGTCTGACTTCTTCAAAAATCATAGGTAGGACTTCTCTATCATATTTTTGTTCAGAAATCTTCGAATCGTGAGACAAAGATTTCTTGACATTTCAAAACATTCGAGTCAAACAGGCTAGAATGACGTCACTCAAATTTGATAAGATTGTTGGCCGTGAGACACGGCCTTAAGATGCATATTTGACTCGATGGTCCGGGACTCTATTTTTGTATGAAGATTTATATAGTACCATTTAGCTCTTCATTGGTATTCGTTGGGTTTTCTAATTCAGTAAAACGTTTTAAAATGAATATCAAAATTTCACATAAAAATGGTTATTCGAATAGCAAATTCGTATTGGTCTTGGAACTTTTCAGTTGAGAACAGGAGCAGATTCGTCTCCGAATCGTCCTAGTATTAGTGAAATTTTGGTATTTTTTCTCTTCTCCAAACCTTTGTCAATATACGAATTGTCACTGAAATCCTAGTGAATTTTTCTTTTAGGTTCTCTGATAGGGAAATTCTTTAAACTTCCTTACCACACGTATATTGAAATAATATTCATATTTTTATTTCATGGAACGAGGAGAGGAAATCCCAAAAAAATCTGGAATAATGTATGTGCGAACTCCTCGATTAACATAATATAGACTATACCTAATTCTAGAAGTTATACTTTTGTTCGTGGAATTGTAATTCAGATAGCTCAAATTTGTTTTACAATTTTCATTTTATCATTTTTGAGTCCTAAATACTGAATCAGCCCAAATACGACTCCCAGACTGAGCATTATAATCCCCTTCAAGACCTCACTTAATAATTTAACAGAACACAGAGTCTATTTCATGGAACATAAAACAAACATTAAGCCGGTGAACTGAATTCGAGATTTGATTTTATTAAATTATTTCCAACGCTCCGACCTTTTTATTGTATTGTCAGAAGTACGCTACTAAGTTCTAATTGATGGGATTACTAACTGTATAAAACTGGATGAGATTATATGAAATTCGTATTCCCCATCTAGATTTCTCATAATGTTATCAAAGTTTAGGAGTTATTCGAAGGCTTTGAGCTGTTACAACGGCGAATTGAAGCCTTTCGTCTCATAGTAGGGAATATTTGGGCAAAATTAATTGCTGAGCTGTATGGTCATGGTTGAATCAATGTTCTTTATTGAATCTTACCCATCTGTGCGTTTTTCTATATTTCCACCAGAATATATAGTTTCAAAATGAAGTGAGTGGCAAATGTCGATGATTATATTGGTTGATATCGAAATAAATGAATAAATTGGCCACAGTATAATATGTTTCAGTCTAACAAACATTCCCAGAATATTCGATTTTTTTGAAATCTTCGAATTCTTCAAATCGAGAGGTTACATTCCGAAAATTGAATAGAATGAAATAGAGGGAACGAAATGGAGTAAGCCAGTTCATACGACTATTGAAATCCTAGAGAATTTGCCGTCCACAAACTGAAAACTGATGACTCTGTAAGTTAGCTCTCGAATCTTCACTATCAGGAAGCAAGATTTGTTTGCTTGTTTATTTGTTTCCTTGTTTATTGGTTTCTTTGTTTGTTTAAATGTTTGTGTATTCGTTTGTTTGTTTTTTTGTTTGTCTGAATCGAATAGGCTTCGAGACTAGTAGACTGATTAAAAAAATTCATCCACTAATAGATAGATAGATAATTTTATTGAACCTCTTAACATACAATAAGATACGTTTGAAGCAGGTCATGTCGGTCAGGTTGATTATCAACAATTGATAAAATTTTAGATAGTGCATACCTAGTTTCGGCACCGACTTTGGAGCCATTTTCAAGAACTGAAAAAAATAAATAAGGAGATGATAGAAAAATAAAGGGAGTGATTTTTCACTAAGGTCTCAATCTTCCTCCTCCTCAGTGGTCGACGGAGTCTTATCTGACTCTTTTATCTCAAATCCTGGTGTTCCGCAAGGATCAATTCTAGCACCAACACTATTTCTACCCCATATCAATGATTTGTTGGAAGCAACTTCATGTCCAGTACACAGTTTCGCGAATGATAGTACCCTCCATACCGCCTTCTCTTCCAGGGCTCCAATACCAGCCAGGCAAATCAGAAACGAACTAGGGAAAAATGTTGAAAACATAAATTTGGACTTGGCAACAATTCTCGAATGGGGATCCGATAACTTGGTAGAATTTATTGCACACAGAACACAAGCATGCCTTTTCTCTAGAAAAGCCGATCTCACTGTGCCCAAAATGAGCTTTTCAGGAGTATCCATACCTTTGAAGACATCCATTTTCGATGCTTGTTATCACTATCAGCAATAACCTTTCTTGGGAAAATCACGTGAGATCAATTGCAAAAAGTGCATCCAAAAAACTTGGTTTTCTGTTTTGGGCCAGGACCTATTTCACTTCAGTCAGCTGCTTATGATCTATAAGGCACAGATCGGACCTGTCCTGGAATAATGTTCCCTTATTTGGAGTGCAGCACCCAAACATACCCTGAA